TATATATAGATAATTACGGGTACTTTTTTTACATTCGGTCACTCAGAATACCTTTTTTTCACCTCTGTCCAATTTAGAAGGCTATGCATATATGCATAATTACGGGCACTTACTTTTTTTTATACATTTGGCCACTCAGAAAACTTATTTATTTTTTACAAACATCATACGAAAAAAATTGATCGCGGTTGTTTTAATGATTTTCCGATCACTTTGAAAATTTTCATAAATGTTTGGGTGTTAAATTTTGTTTCCTACCCTGGTTGCACACTTTTCGGGGGGCAAACCTTTATGACGCATAATATGGTAATGTTCTCAACTTCATATATTGCTGACTGACTTCATTTAGTCGGACCAGCGAGATCTAACTGTTTTATTGATCCAAATCCGAAAACATTTCACAGTGCTTTGTTGCAACCAGAGAGCAGAATTATTAATTTGATAGAAAGAAAATTACTAAGTGAAATATTGTATCCAGAGCAGAGGTTGAACATGTTGGAAAAGCGCCAAGCGATCAATGCACATAAGTTTGTTACAACGGATGCAATAATATACTTTTGAGGGAGGTGTGTGATACAGTATAGAATACGTTTTCCGCCTTCCTATAATATCGAAGGTAGAAACTTCAGATTACAACGAAACGATCATTATCAGAAAAGCGACCCAAAGCTGTAGTATATAATATCAACGGACATAAGTTAACGGATAAATGTATTCGGCAGATTTGAACCGTACAAGGGTCCTGAATCTTTTATGATAGAGAGAGAAAAACAGTAGGTATTGAGGTGAAATAGCAAAGAAAACATATGGCTGAATATAACACGGTATTCAGCTAGCCATATAGAATTTCTCGCAACAGATCAATAGTCGTTAATAGTTTTCTGCGGAGATGTGCATGTGGTGTTATCCTTCACAAGTGCCGTACACTCATTTGCGTGAAAAATTGATAGGCGCTGCAAAAGTGCAATTGGAGTACGTATCCTGACCGTGATCGACTTTTAGAATAATGATAGACCAGTGTCGAGCTGTACTGTCTAGTTTAGTCGAGTTTTTGTGCGTGTTCTGAACATGCGATTCAATCCAGTTCAAAACTTAATTAGAGTGATTTTTAAGGCTATATCTGTGACTCGAATTTGCAAGTTCGTGACGCGCTAGTATTGCATCTTATGTGCATTTGTACGATGTCATGTTTGTGTAGTCCGCTCAACTCCCCAACTCAGGTGGCAGCCCAATTTTATCTATCATTTGAGTTATAGGAGATTATACCAGTACGATTATTGAAAACTTACATTTCCACTATTCACTATGGAAATAAATTTAAGCAAGTCGCCCGGAGAATTCGAAATAAAATCTATTCATATTAGCGCATAAGGCTTCGGAGAAGTAAATACACACGAAATCTTCCTCGAATCTCCATCTGGCTCTCTCTTGAACAGAATGTGAGAGCAATCAACCATAAAAAGAAGTAAAAAGAGAGCTGCATTTAATTTGCGTTGTACAGTATCTGGCATAAGGCTAGCAGTGAGTGAGCAGAAAGTGACGAAGCGACCCAGCAAGCAAACGTTCTTCACCTTTCTGTATCAGTATTGTCAATAGCATACCCATCATCAAATTCCAAATTTGAGAGAGCCTTACCAATCTGCAAATATGATGCTCAAGAGTAGTAGAAGGTGCAACTGTCACATACACCAGCTAATCTGAATACGTATCGCTTCGCATCGTGTTGATAATTAGAGAACCGACTTTACCGACGGTTGCAGAACCGACTGCTATTTGTGGGTATATGAAATCCTGCCGATGCATAGTAATCATGTGCACCGGTGCTGTTTATAATATCTATGCGCTACAAAACTAAATCCGTTTTTGCGATTATATCGCGATTTCCCCATGGCTAAGATACTGTAATATTGTAAGGGATTTATCTGCAGTTTAAAGCTAAATTGCTTTATTCCATACGCGGAGGGGTTGTTCTATAGGTTGGATTTATTCAATGTAACGTTATTTAAGTTGCAATTCCTAGCATGAATATGAAAAATCACGTTGCAAATCACAGTAAATGATGATAGCGCAGAATCATTAACATTGCACATCACTCTGGATAAATGCTTTAGCTGCCAGTTTGCAAATAATTGTCGATGTATTTCAATATTCAACGTATAGATCTCATAAAAGTTAGCGTATTTTTCTTCTTCTTCAATAGTGTACGGGTTTCAGAATTTTGTTCACGGACAGGATTGTACATTGTGTATATCATTGTGTATATCATTGTATTCATTGAGTGATACTAAACTGTGCTTTGACATCATACAATCCCTGAATTGCCTTTGCCAACACGATTTCAGCCTGTGGTATCATTCTCATCATTGTGACGACACTTCGTGCAAGTTATTGTCGTTCACACACAAGCTTCGATTGGTGTAGATATAACGAGCTTGTACTATCAATACGTGCACCAGCTCGATGACTGAACAGATATATAACTCCTTTATCTATTAAACTCATAGCTAGCACGTGCGAATGCCCATACAATTCGACAATATCACGTAGAATTACAAATTTACACATACTATGTAACTTTTACAACCATGGAATACTCAACATGGTCGAAAACGTCTTTCGCAGATGGATGTAGATTGGACTTAAAAAAGTTTCTCAGCCATAATTCAACATGAGAAGTTGATTCACGAGGCGGGAGGTAAAAATCCACGTAAATCATTCTAAGGCGTACATTCATATCTCGCCAAATTTACGTATAGTACACTATTTAAAAGACATGGAATTTGTTATACACACTTTAGTGTGTTCAAACGAACATGATTTTGAAAATTGACAACAACACTTGAGCATCAGCCTCGCAATATTCTGCTGTCATCCAAATTCTCTCATAGAAGTTTCGAATGATGTAGTCTCGAGTGTATATGTTGAACTTGTCTGTTACTCACTCTCACGATCGTGGAGGTCCGGAAACAAACCAAATCATGATGGAAGGATGAATGAGAAGGATCATACAAGGCAACAAAGCCATATTTTATTGGCTCGTACGATGGAGATGCACTTGGGCCCGATTTATAGTTGAGTAAATTCAGAGTAATCACAGCGACCGGCGCTGTTGATCTACCCACCCTAGGCCTGCCGTGAGTAACCTTTTTTGACCAATCCTGCAAATTGAAAAAACAAAAAACAAATTGACTTAAACCCCAGGTATTTGAAGGCAGTTTGAGCGGTAGTGATATATGCGATTGGCTATATTCGGAAGTAGCTTGTTATAATTATCTCATCCTTCCCCAAATAACGACATTGCAGAAAAAATATACCATGGTAAACTACAGATCGATATCATTTTAGCAGCGCTTATATTGACAATAGTGTCATTCACTGTACACTTGCAACGAACAAAGAGCAAGGATATGATTCGAACATCTGGAAAATGACAAAATACCTGTACACTAAACAGGCGGTTTCGAACGAAGATACTCCATCCTCACTCAATCTGGCGAGATCGTCATCCAATGGGGTGGGGTATGCTTCCAGTGTCGCTTTGAACATGGCCGAGAGCGATTCGAACATCCGGAGCTCTCTCTGTGTAAATGAAAATACAGTGGTGCGTGTTAGGGGCAATGTCATCATTGAGGTTCCAGAAACGATGGAAGGGGTTGCTGCTTTAGGTATTTTATGAAGGACTAGTACCAGAAGAGACATGCAGTCGTCAATGAGATAACCACGGTCATGTACTGCATAAACGAGTACAATACCTCCTTGCTGGCGGATGCGTCTTTAATGTACGTTTCGAGGTTTTGAACGGTCATTTTTTCTAAAAGAACGCCGTCCGCTGTGAGTAATCGTAAAGTCCTGTAACGGGATTGTGTGTATAGTGAGTGAATTTGAATACTGCTCGATAGTTTGCTATATGCGAATGTCTTTTTACAACGAATTTTTGAAGTACGATAGCCACCCTGTGTTATAGAGGCTGCTCTTAGCAATCTTAGCGAGAAAATGATTCATTTTCAGCCTACAGCAACTACACCGAAGAACGTGCTGCGTATTTGCTGTTGCCTTTTTATTTGTTGCGAGAGATGGCATTCGGAAATACAACGACGGAGCGACGCAATGTGGGGTGGATGTATGGGAGTGATCTAGACATACCAGCACATACAAAAACACTGCGAGGAAAGCCGCAGCAAACCATCCTAGATCCGGATAGCGCAAAAGACACCATCGCAATCCCAGAATCAAGAAAATGGCTGGTGCAGGAACAAATAGGTTGAAAGATAACTTACGGGAGTAGTGTGGGGGTTACAACAAAAGCACCATCCGCACCAATCGAGAGCTTATTCTCTGTATTGAACATCCCTGAGTTCTCGCCCAGTGTCAGTAGCAGCGATCGTCGCATACCTGAACCGTGTAAATGACGAGTGTTAAATCTCATTAAACACTGCATACGACTAAAATGATATAGACCTGCTCTGTGGTTCCCAATTCAATTCATTGAGGTAGGGGTGCGATGTCCGATCAGAAAGCTTGGTGAGATGTCGTGATGGCACTGACTGCACGTCAAGTATGTTTGATATGGTGTGTGCGACAGACGCATGCAGATGTATGCTCCGCGCAAGTTACCAGCACCCTATCTTCATCAACCGCAATGTCAGCACTGTAAAATAGGATGTGCACACAGACGGTCTGCTAATTTGCAAACCGTGTTCTATATAAGAACGCCTATTTGCAAGTCAGTAAGACTGTACTAGCAACCAACTGCACTGAGTGCACACATATTGACTTACTATCCGCCGGTGTATCATCACTGGGTAGTTCCAAGTTGATATCAAAACTGTCGAACACATTGTCGTGGAGGGCAAAACCGTAGTAGATAACTAATTGCCAGTTCTGTACATCTCCATACTATAGCGTATTTGTGAAACCAAGCCGGAACAAGATAATTAGGGTTGTGTGCCACTCAGTGCGTACACTACCAGCCGGTACCATAGTATAATATAACCAGCAATAAGCAGAACGATATCAAGCACCTCAGAAGCAACCATCGTTAGTCAGTGGTGTGACTATAACAGACAAATCTGTCTCGGGTCTAGGGTTTTAGGTGACAACCCCAACAACTCGGAGTGCACGTACCTGGAGGTATAACTGCTCACCAGCGGCGAACTTAGACGCGGCCTTCACCTCGAAACACTGAGTCTCACTATTGAACATTTTGGTGACGCGCCTGCCCTCTGGCATGATAGGATATTGACAACAATATGTTTGAAAAGCGTTAGATTCAACTCATCATTAAGCACGATCGCAAGTATTCATGCAGGATTGCAAGATCAAAAGACAGAGGTTTGGAGTGGTGAAGAAGCACTAGGAAGTGAGATGATACTTCGCGCTTCGATGCCATTTGGAATCGCCATGGTGCACATGTGTTATGTGTATATGCGTGTGTAAGTATAGGTGTGCGTATATGTGTGCTTGTAGGTATGCATGTGTGTGTAATACTGCAAGTGAGTATGCGCGATAATCTAAGAGGTACATACCCGTGGGATGGTGGTCTGCGAGGTCTACAAGAGGCACGAGCATGTTGGTCTCTTGGCCATCCATCATGGTAGTAAAACTGCGACTCTCCACCACATGATACGCCCACAGGAACTCCTCCCACTGAAAGAATTGTGAGATAGTTTGTTTAAGTTATGTACAGGCAATACAAGGCATTCGGCTGATTTAACTACAGAGCATTATTACTACTAGACAATTGTGCAAGTTCCAATGGAGGCAAGGGGAACATGAAGGCTGCTCAGGATTTGCAGTATGCATGATACTTGCATACTGAATTTTAGGGTGAGTGCTTGCACTACAACATTGTCCTGAATACTTACAAGGCTAAGTAAGAAACCGCCAGCAAACAAGCATATTCACCGTATCGCAGATAAAAACTACTGCATAGCGTCCAGCATCGTAGCGGTCATACACTTTCATACGGATAGGAGGTCTTTATACAGCTAGATCATCATTGGCATGGGCGAATGGTGGTACATACATCAGAATCAAGTTATGGTGCTAGCTGCACATTGTTACCAGTATAGTTGTACACTTAAAGAGGCTGGATTTCCTATGTAGGTGCCGGCTGTCAACAAGCCAGTCACACTTCAAATGTGAAATACTTTGTTCTAGTTTTCCAAACGTTCATATATGACCAACATGTGCGCTAGGGAGTTACATTACAACGAAACTAAACCATCCACACTCGGATCAATACATATGAAGTGAACATTGACGGGCATACGGCTGTAATAGTAACCATCAGACCCAACCAGCTGGGAAAGCTATCCGATTCATACTAACGGGAAGTGAAGCACCCATTTGACCCTGATTTTTAGTGATATATACCCATTGCTACGCTGATCCTACACCACTGACTTACCGTGATTGGTGAGAGATCGGAGAATTTCGTTATCGTCTCACACAGCGCTTTGAAGTTCGACACCAACTCCTCTCTTACGGATTGATACACAAATAGTAAGGGTGTGCCAGCCAGCATCGACTGCACGTGCTCGTCTGACGCGTAGAAGGGGGTCGTGTACGTGACAGGAATGGTGTTGATGTACTCTTGGTATAAGGAATCGGCACCGGAGTTCTGGTACAGTCGAGAAGGGTTTCACAGGGATGATGTTGTGGTTTAGAATACGCTCCACCGCTATTCATGACAGGGTATGCGTAAAGCGGAAGAGATCGCATATGAGAATGCCATGGATACTCCAAGTAGCAGGACTCTCCAATCTCGGATACAGGTAGGTAGGGATATCAACAAAGCAGACTATGGAGAGCTCGGACATAAGTTTGAATATCTACTTATAACTAGAGCATAAGGGAAGCAAAGCAGAAAGACAAAGAAGCCACAACAATGACTTTTGGATTTTGAAACCCAAGCAACTGCACATGTACGTCGTAGGTATGTATATCATATTTGCACACACATTTGATTACAGCACAGCGAGTCCAAAACAATACACAATATTAAAAAGTGGACATATGCGCAGGTGTCAAGGTAGACAGCTCGAATTCAATCCATTTAGACCTTTCATGGGCAGTCAATAGCTCGTAAGCTCGTGATAGTTAATTGAAGTGTGCTGCTGTAGTGAGTACGATTTTTGTTATGCATGTTCATATTATCCCTTCCTATCTCTATGAATAAGCGTAACATCGAATGATAAGTACAATTCATACGAGATTCAAAGTGTATACAAACAAAGTATGTGCAGTACCTTTTCTGCGATAAGGAAAAGCATCAGGGTCAGAGTCGTTTTTCCAGAAGCGATCTCATCCGGCAGATTCTGTACAAGTTTACCGATTCTTTCGTCCTTTTCTGTGACGCTTTGCGCTGTTATCACCATTTGTCCTAAGTGCGACGGGTTGACGTATGTATAAAACATTCAGATATATACAATTATGACATCCGCAAAGCTTCAGAATACAACTATCGTGACGTGGCAGGGAAACACTTCACGTGCTCACTCTAGCTCCGCCTTAGTACTAATTGCGACCAGAAAGATCAGAGGAAAAATTGATGGGGAATCGGAGTAGCAGATAAGATATATATAT